TCTTGAAATTCTAGTAATAAGAGATAGAATAGAATAGTAAGGATTCTCTTTCAAAAACATAAATAACATCAGATATATTAAAAGCTATCAGTCATTCAAACTTTCATGCAATTTTGTCAGTAAGATGGAATTTTTTCTCGAGTCTTCTACCCTTTGGGAATAGGAGATTAGATTTGGAGAAGGGACTAAGTAAAGAATACTTGGAGAAAAACAGTTAGGTACAAATTAAACTTCCAAATTAGGATTATACAGGAGAGAAAAGGTGGTTTATACAGCACTTCTTAAATTGTGGGTCAAGACCCTAAGTGCTGAAGGGGTGGAAAAAGCTTAAGAAGCTCTGGTTTAGAAGACCATGACTTCATTATGCACCACAGTAAAAGGACAGCAGAACTTGAACAGAGAAAAATACAAAAGGGGAGATCAAAGAATTCAATTCAACCCAACAACATTGAAGTCCGTACTATGTACAAAGTATTGGGTACTAGGTGATTGGGATATGAAGACAAAAAGTAAACATAATCTCTGCCCTCAATTAGTTTGCATACTAAATGAGATTGAAGCCAAAATTCCTTTATTTTGAAATTTTGCCTAGAACTCGTCCTGTACCAGGAAAGAACCAGAAAATTATTTCCTTCTTTCTCTTCCCCTTTTGCTTGTGTCTTCTCCTTTCTTCTTCCTAAAACCCCATGTTCAAATCAGCCAGAGTTCAGATGAGTAATTAATAACTATATTTCACACGACTACCAATTCAGGGCTGGAAGGGATTTTAGAGGCCATTAGAAATGAGAAACTGAGGGAAAAAGGAATGATGAATTGCCCAGTTACAAAGCTCATAAGCTTCATTCTATCTACAATGCTATGCTGCCTCTCAGTTCAATTACATAATGAGCTAAAAGATTTCTTTTTTGAGTGTGAGTATGACTTAGTCTTGGATGCAATCCATTATTTTCAACATTGTTTCTATAGGAAAACATGATTTAAATTCCTCCAGATGTTGGGAGCTTCAGAATATCTGCTCTAGAGTGTCCTGAAATGATTTTAGACCTTAGATGCTAAGGGCTGGAGAAATCACATGGGCTGCCCAAAAGGGACTCTAAGCCGCCTCCAATATGAACTTCAGTAGATATAAGGTACTTTGGGGCCTCTGTTTCTGTGGGCTCAGATATGTAGAACTGAATGTACCACATGTAGCATTTCCCTTGAGTGTACCACATTCCCTTCCAACTGTGGGCTCAGTCTAGCCCAGAGGGACCTTAACACTCTCCTAGTCTTCATCAGCAACCTGCGTCTCACAACTATCAAAGATCCTGGTCTACGAGAAGTCAGTCTCAGAAGACTTGCATTAATTCCGTGTTGGGCACCACAAGACTGTAGAGGGCAAGTGCCCCTTATGACTGACCATTCCTCAATTCTATGGTAGCTGAATTCCCAGCTGCTATTTCCCCTTCATCTCTTGCTATATCATCTCTGGTGGTAAACCATTCCCCATATTCTTACTGCTATTTATTTCAGCCATAATCCTTCATAATCTAAATTACCCTCTAATGTCTTCTTCTATTTAACTTTCTGGTATTCTCATTATTACCTTATTAACAAACTCGCCTTTATCTTTCATTTCTACCCTTTACATTTTCCATCTTCTTGTGCTATCTCCAGAAGACAACACATCCCTCGCCACCTGCTCCAGTACTGGGTACATCTTTTCTCATGTCCTCCCAAATCATTGGGCCAAAAGAGGAGTAGACATTCTCTTTGTTCCTCATTCCCATTCCAACCATTTCTTTTTCCACAATCACTCAGAAACATCTTTTCCTTTTAGGATCACTTAATCCATCTTTACCATTCAATCTAGCTCATAGTTTTTATCATTTTTTTTAACTCTCTATTACCTAGCATGATATTAAATGGTACTTAAATATTTGCAAAATTAAACTGAACTTTAAAATGAACTTTTAGATTACATCTAAGTAGGGAACAGAATGCATGAATGTTTGAGAAGAGGTTTAGATATATATTTATAAAAACATATACACATATACACATATATGTATGTGTACCTATATACATGCACATACAGGTTTAGGTAGATAAGTGTGTATATGCGTGTGTATACATACATATATATGCACATGAATATGCATGCTTATATCTCTATATGCATATACATATATAAGTATGTTTATGTATATACATACCTACATACATAATATGAGTGTATGCATGTGTGTACCTGTACTACATAGACACATGTTGCTATAGTCATGAACAAGGCATGATGATATATTGGTCGAAAATAAAAAAGTTTATCATTAGAGATAATTAGTCCCCTTTGTGATCTCTGAAATACAGGGGAAAAGGAACAAGAGAAAAGTCTCATGTGTGTATTTATCTCTATAAATCCAGACAATAAAGAAATAAGTAATGGTATATAATCACTTGTATGCACAATATTTTTGTATACTTTTGTCTGTAAACTATTGTATACAAGTATGATATACTTGGTTATATACTTTGGACTCATACAAAACCTATGCAAAGAGAAAGCTATCCATTGTGTTAGGTATATGTGAAGGGACCAGTATTAACAAAATCTGAAAAGTTAGAAATTATCTATATGTCCATATAATAGTATTTGTATATACCATAATTTCACATGGTATGCGTACATACATTTGTAAATCTATAGGGTAAGTGTATATTAGACTTTGAAGCATAAGCGATATACACACATATGTAACATAATTTACTTTGGTGTTCTAGAGATACCTAAACAATACTTGTCTTCATACTTTGATATTTTAAAAGATCAATTATTTATTTCATTGATGTGGATATTTCCTATGCCTACAACTTATAATGGTGAGCATGAATTCTGGAACTAGGAAGACATGGGGTTAAAGTTTGGTCTCTACCACATACTGACTATTCAATGCTGGAAAAGTCATTTAACTTCTCAGTACTTTAGGCAACCAAGCACATAAATTGCAGAGAAAATACCAACCTGCTTTAGTATCAGGGGTATGCTCAACCAGGAATCTCTTACACCACGTAAATAATAGGTCTAATCCCTATTCAAGTTTACAAACATATCATAATCCTTTCCCACCTACCTAACATATTTAAGGCCTTCCTTTTGTTGCCATGGCATTTCAGGGGTACCAAAAAAACCAATTATCTATAACTGTATATTATATTGATTTTCAACTTCATCATTAAAATCATTCTCCTATATGGAGAGGTATAATGCTAATGGCTTATATTTGTATAGTTACAAAGTACTTTACATCATTATAGTAGACCTAGGAATTTTACAGTAAAATAATTTATATCCCCATTTTAGAAAATGGGGAACTGAGCCTCAGAGAAGTTAAGGGATTTTCCCAAGGGTTTAAGAAGTATAATAAATGGTAGAGTTGAAACTGGAACATGATCCAATTCTTTCCTCACTATAACCATGCCACATTGATTAATTAGTATCTAAAAAAGTTTATAGTATATATAAAATTAAAAATAATATTGATTATAAAATCTTATTCTTACAATTTTAAAATCACATTTGGACCAACACAGTATTAAAACACTATGTTAGAATATAAAGACCTTAGAAGCAGGTGCTGGTTCAGTTTTATCTATGTATTGCCACCACCTAGAAGAGTTCCTGGCATATAGTAGGTACCTAATAAACCTTTGTTGAATGACTGATAGACATAATAGTATGTATAATTACAAAATAAATGTTTTTTTCTTTGCACATTGACATCAGACACACTATTTCCATTGTCCTGTTAATTCTATAAAAGTACAATTACCATAGAACATTCAAAGCTGTTAGCATTTGTTATTTATTGTAACATTTAATAAGCACATCTATATATAATTAGCATGATTCAATTTAATATAATAAATTATTAAAGTTGATAAAACTGAAATAGTTGTGTTAGTTTTCTGACAATAACAATGAATATCAAGCAATATGTAAACATATTCAATTATATATTCATTGCCTTCTATGCAATATATGCATACATGTATGTTTTTGTGCATTTATTTTGCTACATTTACTTATTAAGGCAGTTGCCAACTTTACTAACACAGATCACAACACCTCCACACCTATCTCAAAAAAGAGAGACTTGTCTCTTGTTCTCTTGGTGTTTCAGGAATATCAAAGAATATCAAATTATTCTCCATAGCCCCTAGCATAGCACTTTGTACATAACACCAATTTATTAACAGCACTTTAGTTTTTTCCTACTTGGTTCGAGAAGACAGTGAAGGATTGATCACACCTACAACTGCTATGCTCCAGTAGGCTTATAAAAACTGTATAAAGCTTTTCTTTTTGCTCATTTCAATTATATCTTTCTACTATGTCCATCCTATTTTATATGTATTTTCCTTTTCTCTTAAAGAAACTGAAATTCGAAATTCTCATCACAATGCTGTAGAAAGTTCTCTTCTAAGAAGGCTTATGTAGGGCACCAACATCCACCTGCTAATAGAAGCTATGAAGGCTATTAGACAATAACTAGTGCCTCATTTAAGTCATAACTAAGTCATTTTAGAAAATATGACATGGTCATCAATCTGTGGCACTGAAAATATAAAAATAGATTATGTATGAAATATCAGCTAATCTACCCAAGGGAAATTTGTCCAAGGTTAGAATTCAAGTGAAACAAAACAGATGATCATTTATTCTACGCAGTGTTATTGCAAATGGACATTGAAAAGAAACCCAAATTAGACATTTCTCTATTTTTTTCCTTTTTAAGGTTATTTTACAAATTTAATCTATAAGACTAGACTGAAGTAAACATACCTTTATATCACTATTTCAAATAATTAAATGAACTACTTTTTACATGAATTTTGATTTTTTTTCATCAAAAGAGAAATGCACTCAGATTTAACATGGAAAACCATTTACATGTTAACTCTACCCACTTTATAAACATTTTAAACAGATACTGAAAATGTGTTTTACCAGTAAGACAGACCTATCTCATTAAAGCCACTGTAGCCCAGCTCTTGCCTGCTAAGTCCCAGATCTTCCAGGTCCATGCATTTAAATCCTGGTGGGCATTGATAACCTTCTTCAATTTCTCTGGAGCAGTGGGTATCTGGGATAGCTAAATTATTCCAAGTCACATTTCTGTGGAGAAATACATGAGAAGTGTTAGATAACATGTCGAAGGCCAATGGATGAAAAATGTTAAAAGTTAAGTTTAATTATTGTTTATTAATGACTAATGAAAATGGAGTGGAATTTGAAATTAATGATTTGTATACAGCTACCACATGGTCTATTGCGTTTTTCAAACATTATCTAATTCATTTTCATAGTCGCCCTTATGATAGACTACAGGTGTTATCATGTTCTATTAGATGGTGAACTCCTTTAGGGCAAGGATTGTTTTGGGTTTTTTTTTTGTATCCCTGACACTTAATAGTGTGCCTAGCACACAGCAGGCACTTAATAAGTGCTTTTTAACTTAAATTTCTGTTTTAAAGTCTGGGAAAGTCAGATACCAGCAAGCAAAACAAGAATTTTCAAGTGGAAGGATTGTTAACCTGAATGGGAGTCCTGTAAAATGAAACACACAATACATGCCAGGCATTGGATCATCATGCCTCTGATGATTCTTAACACATTTAAGCAAAGAAAGGAGACTATAAGCTACTTGAAGGCAAATAACTCACATTTGTTATTGTATTCCCATGAAAGGTAACATGACAGAGGCTAGAGAGCCCGCCTCAGAAGCATGAAGCCCTGGGTTCAAATCCAGCCTCCAGCAGATACTGGCTGTGTGAGCAATGACGAGTCACGACCTTTCAACGTCTCAGGGAACAAGATGCAGAACAGGGACTGATCTGAATTAGTAAATTTAATTTCCTCCCTTGGAACTACAAAGACCAATAAAATCACAGATATAGTCTCTCTACTTCCCCCAAATCCTCAGTGTTGATTTTAGTGCCTTGCATACAGTAGTTGCTAAATGAGTGCTTCATAAATAATTTTTGAGGGGTAGCTAGGTGGCACAGTGGATAGAGCACTGGCCCTGGACTCAGGAGGACCTGAGTTCAAATCTAGTCTCAGACCACACCATTTGACACTTGCTAGCTGTGTGACCCTGGGCAAATCATTTAACCCCAATTGCCTCACAACAACAACAACAACAACAACCACAATGTAAATAAATAAATAACTGAATAAATAAATAAATGAATGAATGAATGAACAAATAAATGAATGAACAAATAAAATAGATAGATAGATAGATAGATGATAGATAGATAGATAGATAGATAGATAGATGTTTTCTGTTATTCAGTTGTTTTTCAGTTGTGCCCAGCTCTTTGCGACCCCATTTGGATTTTTCTTGGCAAAGATACTGGAGTGGTTTGCCATTTCCTTCTAGGCCTCATTTTACAGATGAAGAAATTCAGGCAAAGAGGTGAAGTAACTTGACCAGGGTCACATGGCTACTAAGTATTTGAGGCTAGATTTGATCTCGGGAAGATGAGTCTTCTTGATTCCAGGCCCAGTACTCTATTCATTGTACCACCTAGCTATCCTATCATAATCAATGTCATAAATCAGTAATGATAATTTTTTTTCTATATTCATTCTTTGATTTAGAGAGGGACCCATTGGGTTGAGATCTTGAATGGACTGCTTAGAGATGGTGAATGTGAAGGGATCTTAGAGGCTATCTAAGCTAACTCCCTCTTTTCTCTCACCTTTTATAGATAAAGAAATTTGAGCTCACAAAGATTAAATTGCTTTCCCAAAACTACATAGATAGCAATCTAGGATCTTTGACTCTAGGTCCAACATCCTTTCCACTAAGTATTGTCACCAAATGCATAGATTACAGAAGACAGAGCAGTGGAAAGAGGACTAAGTAAGGTTTTCAAAGATCTTGGTTCTTATCAAAGTTTCACCACACTGTGATTATGTTATCTTGGGCCAATCACTCGCTCATGCAGGGAGTGTGTGTGTGTGTGTGTGTGTGTGTGTGTGTGTGTGTTGGCCATGTAGATTATGTTTGTACATTTGGGTCTGTCTAGATATGGCTTCCAGAGAGGTATGAACAGATATCTCTAGTCACTTTTGCCCACTCTTCTCCAAGGAAGACTTTTGATTCCTGTCAGGTTGCTTACTCTGCTCTTTTTGGAGAAGCATGGATAGAATTGGATAGAATTACATCTGGCCTCCTAAATAATATTAGTCTGGGAGAATTAATTTTCAGGTTGCTAATCAAAAGTCATGACTCCACAAGATGTGAGTAGTAACTTGCTTTATAGCAAGTGAAGTGAACATGTATGTGGAACTCCTTATACCAAGTACAAAGGAGTTCACAATACAGCCAGAAACTTGAATATTCATGAGTTACAAAAAAGTGAAGTTTCATGGAAGCAGTAGAGGTTAATCCCCTCCCAAATGGGAGGGACATGGGAGGAGGAAATGAGCAATAGAAGAGGGGAAAGGACTAGTCCCCTCCCAAAGGGGAGAAGAAAGGGAGAGAAAGGGAAGGGGAGCATGAATAAGTAAGATGGCAAAAGCCACATTATTTTCCCTTGGAAACTGCTAAACTGTGGAGGGCCATCTCCAGTTATCCTGATCTATATCTTACCACTGGACCCAGATGACTCCAGAGGAGAAAGCGAGGCCGGTGATTTTGCACAGCCTTGCCTCACTTAAATCCAATTCACTTGCATGTCATGGCATCCCCTCCCTGATGTCATGGTCCTCTTTGAGAATGAAGGACAAACAACGACAACAATAACAACAGCGAGACTATGAAGATGTGATGGTCTGCTTATCCACAAGGGTCCCAGCTGCACAAACAGTTTATCAGTCTGGTGCAGACAGACTGGCACCTATCTTGTAGCTGGTTCAACTCTCAAGGACACAATGAGAGTTCAGCTAGGGGTGGAAATAACAAATTAAGTCAACTGGGGGCAGGGAGAGGACTTTATCCTTGTCTCATTCTGGGCCTTCTACATATCCCAGGTCCAGTGTTTCTATTTCTGGGAAATGTGACAACTCAAAAAGACAATGACTTCAGGGCAACATTTCTTCTCTGTGGTCAATGTTGCCTCTGGGCACACTGATGACCACACCTGGTAAAATATTATATTAAACACCAGACAGGAAGAGCATCTGGAGGTAAATCCACTATATGATGGTAAAAGTTAACAGATAAAGGTTAACAGCTAACAAGAGACCTAACCCCAGCCCAGGCCTCCAGGGAGCCAGGGTAACTGAACTAAGGTCAGAGACAAAGAAAAGAGGTTTGGGCAATTTATAACCTATGGGGGGGGGGAGGCATGATACAGAATAGTTCCAACCACAAAGTGGGACCAGAATCATTGATCAATTACAATACAAACCATAGCAAAAATGTCCAAAATCCGGGATACATTCAGAGAAGAAATTCACAAGATAACCAAGAGAACATAGTGTACAGATCAAACTTAACTCCTGCTCTCTATTACTTAACAGGGAAGGAATGTCACAAGCTATGTAACCAAGACTTGACTGGTTTCTCATTAAATGCCAGTAGCACAAAGACCACAAGTGGAGACTAGCAAATAAATTAATTTAACAAAGTTAACAGCAAACAGAAATCAGAAAAGGTATAGGGATGAGATTATACCAGACAATATACAGAGTGAATGAGCTGTCCCGGGGAGGGGAGAGGTGAGCTGAGGGGACAGAAGCCAGGAGAGGAGAGAAGAGGATTTAGATCTCACCCAAGGGGAAATTTCTCAAAGTCTTTACTGTAATAAGTAGGGATTAGGCAAATGACTGAGGTACTATCTGCTCTACATGTTAACTTCCTTCAAGTTTCTCTCTCCTTTCAAAGATCCAAAGAGAATCTACAACCACATGTCTAGAAGACCAGGATTTCACTTCTCCCAAGCTACTGCCAACTCCATCCCTCACAAAGACACAGAATGCTTAGTAATCAGTTTCCACCAATGAAGAGAGTCTTATGTAAATGACCTTTGAATTGAGGGGTTACACTATGAAGCTCAAGTTCACAGGATCATAAATTTAGAACTAAAAGACATGTTAGAGTTCATCTAGTCCAAACCTTTCATTTTGTAGCTGAGAGAATGCAGGCCACAGAGGCAGAATAACTTAATGACATCACATATGTAATAAGTTCCAGAACCAAGATTTGAAACCAAGGCTCCTGCTTCCAAATCCGTCACTCTCTTCCATTTACCACAGTGACTGCGCAGTTACACATCTGTCAGACAGATACTACTTGAATTACCTTCCTCATGGGATTGTGGTGAGGATTAAATGGGGCAGGAATTGAATATATCCACATAATAACAACAACTAGCATTTATGTAGTGTCTACTATGAGCCAGGAATTCTACTCACTCTGCTAAGAACTTTGCAAACATTTTTGTTTGACTTTCACAACAAACCTGGGAAGAAGGTGCTATTTTTAGCCCTACTTCATAGTAGAGGAAACTGAGGCAAAAGGAAGTTAAGTGACTTGCCCAAAGTTATATTGCTAGCAAGCATCTTGAGCTAGATTTGAACTCAGATCTTCTTGACTCCAAGAAACATTGTTCTCATTTGGGGGTTCATAATAAAAGTTCTTTAATGATGCATTAAGCAATGAAGAATTGCCAAATTATATTTCAAATATGTTTTCCTCTGTAAAGAAAGCACATGCATGTTTGAAGCATTATATATTTCTTTCTGCAGTGCTTCGAAATGATCAAGATCAATTACATAATGATTTTGATGTTCAAGCCCTGGTTACTTCAAACTCTGCTTCTGACTCAGCACATCACATTTTTGCATTTTCTTAAACTGTCATCAAATTATCTCCCAAATGCCAGAAAAAATCAACATTCAAACTAATTCCCAAGGGATAGTCAGACACATGTGAATATCCTTATTTGCATTCTGTGTATACTGTACCAGAGTAGTTCCCTCATTTCCTTCTGTTCCCTTGCAATTAGAGGTTATCAGCTATGTAATCATGATCTAGACATTAGGAATGTTCACACTTTTGCAACACAAATGTCAGTCCATTTGAAAACCATGATCTCTGGGCACGGGCATTATGAGCCATTTTGAAACCATTACGGATCATCACAAACATTCCGCAGAAACAA